TACCTATAAAACATGTGTCACAGGCTGCGAATATCAGTTTTGATTTTCGGGGATATGTGCCTACCCGGTTGACCTGACCTTGACCCTGACCTATGCTTGACTGACCCCTACATGGAGCTGACACTCTTGTAGGCCTTATATGATGGATTGTGCACCGTTTGGACAGAGTTTATGACGAGAGGCGCCCATTGCAAAGTCATGAAGTCCATGCTACTGAAAGCCCGATTTCAGGTGTTTGACCTGACCTTGACCCGACCTGTGACCTCAAAATTCAATTTTAAAGTACTCATCTGAAGCGTCTCGTCGCGCTCTTTCGTTTGCCGCCTCGTGCGTTTCGCTGCGCCTATTGGTTCTCGAGTTATCGGCTGGGGGCGTTTAACGCCCCCCCCCCCCCCAGCAAACGGTGGGTGGCGAAATACCCCAGCAACTGCCGGGTTAATGGCGCCAGCCAGACGAAAATAATGTCCGGAGAATTGTAATAGAAATTAGAAACAACAAATAAGGGTGGAGCTGACGTGATACGCGCGGTACATAAGGAGTTTTTACATTATCGTTTGTAAGATCTACTGAACCTTTTCAGAGAAGCACTTGTACTCCTTCGATACAATTCGAAGAACATCATAAACGTTTACAAGACATAAATGTTATTTGGCGCCTGACGGGAGGGGCAACAAAGAAAAGGAAAGATCATCATTTCACCCTGCAACTGCAGGATTAGGGGAGGGGAGGGGAGAACAGCTCGACAATGATTCAGCACCAAATTACAGACGAACGAGTAACGAATTCATAACAGAGAATGTGAGGCACACCGGAAATTCATAGATCCATTCCAAGGTTTTCTTGCAAGGAAAACAATCATATATGCGTTCAGGGTTGTCAGCCTTCCAACATGGCGATGCGAGCAAGCTCCGTGACGTTTTCATTTCAAGGCCCCATGGTCCTTCATCGTTTGCAAGCAATATGAATGCAAACCAAACAAAGGAAATTGCACGACACGGCGGCACGCATTATGGTTTGGTCCATCTCTAGCCCTTCCGGCACCTAGTAATCGCAGCCATTACACTGCAAGGACCCCGGTTCCCAGGCATCGCTTTAGCCGGCCCGGCCCGTAATTTACACGTGACCAACGAAAATTGTCCCGTTTAACGAGAGGATAAACGGGACATCCGTTGAGCTGGCCTTGACCTGAGCCCACTGTTGAGCGTTTTAGGGTTGACAGGAGGTGTTTCCATAGGAACGGAAGTTAAGTCCCGGATGCATCGCGTCTTCGCACTCTATGCTGCGAAGGGCAAGAATGAGCTTTTGGAACCCATTTGGTCTTTGTTGGCTGCATGCGACATTTGCAAGAGCTTCTGCATTGAAAAGGCAGTGTCGAGATAAGATGCTTCTCGACGCCGCTCGCTCTAATTTCAAACTAGACAAGCAAGCAATGCCCCTGGGCCCAGGTGTCTGGGAATGCGCCCATGGCATGAGACGCTCCCCACCCCTGCAACATAATTCGCGCCTCGCTGCGTCTGTCTGCACAGTGCACACACAGACGGTGCACGGGGCACGCAAATAGCCCACCCCGTGCACAGCCGTCACCCCGACTTCCTGTCTAGCAGAGTACGGCATGTGTGACCTCTGCGGGGTTAGCAGTCTGACTCTGGGGCCTAGCAGTTGCCTGACCGAGCGACCGACCGGCCGACCGGACACGGCCTGACCTGCCGGTTCGGAACTGGGGCGCACCACGGCGCGGTCACCTACCTGCGATCAGCTGATCCCTCAGTCCAGAGCCGCTGCCTCCGAGAAACTCGCTTCGTAAAATCGCACACCACGCTCACACACGCACATACACGCATATAATCGTCACTATCACTGAAAACACCATCCACTGAACGACGAATAAGCACTGCAACCCCGCGCGTACACCGCACCGACTTGGCAAGTCAGGCAATACAACGGGATCGTCGCCTTCGCCGGCCGGCCGCCGCCGCAGTCGGGCCGAACTTGGTGGGGTTTATTGTTGGCGAGCGCCGCGGGAGGAGAGAGGAGGGGAGGGAGAGAGAGTGGTGATCGTGTGAGGTGAGAAGCTGGGCCGGGGAGGTCAGAGAGCTGTCCCGAGTGGGGTCGGTTGGATGCGGGAGGAGAGTGAGCCATGCAGGGCAGAGATGGAACGGGATGTGCAGTGGACGGACCGAACATCAAAAGGTTGCCGTAGGTCAGGGATGAGGTGCGTGAGGTCAACGCGCACGTGCAGACTGCCGAGGCATGTCGCGTGGAGGGCGGCATCACACTCATGGAAAGTTGGGAGGTGCATAGGCGCGGGAGCCGGGGGACAGTGGGGGCAGCTTGCCCCCCTCCCCAACTCTGGGGCCGTGGGGGGGGGGGGGCGGTGCCCCCACAGCTTTGAGACAGAATACTACACTTTTTTGCAAATGTTTTCTTTTTTGTTGAAAAAGCCGAGGGGTGAAAAATAAGTGGCCTAAAACCGGTGAGAAAACTAAATTTGGGGGTACCCTAGGTTGATCTTTATTATGGTGTGCCCCCCCCCCCCCCAGTCGGAAAGTAGTTCCCGCGCCCCTGGGGAGGTGTGTTGTTAAGCGTATCAGTCAAATTCATTCACCTACAATTCCAGATGGTAGAAATGCCTGTTAAAATACGTAGATAAATAAATTAATTAAATTGATTCAAATATCCGGTGTGTTTCTGCATCAGTTCCATAAATAAGATATTAAAGAGTCGTTCGCTGGCGCCTCGCCGATTTTAGGGAACAGGGTGCTCCCGGCGTCAATTATCCCGAAAAATAGCATGAAAAAATCGCCGGCCCGACGATTTTCAATTGTTCCTTTGACCTCCACCACTCATCAATAATCTCCACGTTTACATCAGATGCAGCTCTCAAACATCCGCCGGATGAGCATAAAGCAAGTCCCCTAAGTTTGACAAATCCTTTCCCAGTCAAGTCGGACTCCCAGATCCCCGATATCCCGGTACCGCCGCAGCGCCACTGATGCCGCCCCGGCCCACCCACCCGGGCGCGGCAGCTCGAACCGGGCCGCTGCTCAGGTCGATCAGCCACTATCGGTACGATCTGCGCTGCTATAATAGCCGAGTCGGAGTAAACAGGTCACCTGACGTCATTGGTTCTTGGGTGGAACCCGCACCCGGTTAAGGCACAATAAACTTTCGCCGCACAACTCCGATATCAGTAGCCAGAATGGCGATCGGCGGATGGATAGAAGATAAAGAAAGGTAACGGGACGTCTCCCGATATGGATGCTTTTCACGATATTTAGCTGCACGGAACTGGATGAAATATAGCATAAATCGATCAGTATCCTATATCGGTCATTTCACCCAACCATCCCACCCGCCTTCCCTTCTCAACCCAGTCACCACCATCACTTCTCAGTATTGAAACGACAAACCAAAGGACACACACCACCAGCCGTACAAAAATACATTTATTTTTTACCTGCACATCTGACCAGCGTATCCATGTTATCAAACGTCGGTTCCTCGTGGCTTGCATTCTCCGTATAAATATAACGGTGAGTACAGAATGCCCGCTAAGAGCGCATTATCCTCCAGTGTCAGCTATGACATGCCATTATCTGTTGGTGAACGATTGCACTGTGCACCAGTGAGGTGATAGAAAGGCGGCGGCTTTTGAATCACTAAAATAACCCCGTGTCCCTCCAATAGCAATGTAAAGCTGGACCCCTTCCTTTACCAGACGACATAAAAGCGGGTTCCGTTCATATTTAGGTAAACAAAAATTATGACGATTATCAGATCATCGTAACGGATTGAGTTTGTGAAGCCCTATTAATGACGAGGATAAATAAGCCATTTTTTGCATTTTTGCTGGTACGATATCGAAGCATTCGCGAAATCCACGAAGTTCACAAAGAGAAACGCCAAGAGAATATACGGATGTACAAATACATACAAGCAGTCAATGTCATGCACGACAGTTACCCAGGTACGCTGGCGTATCTTTGTTACTTATGGAATAAATTGCATGCTTACGGTAACATGCCACAAGGTCCGCCGACCATGGCAAAACAAATATGTCCTAGTGCGCAGATAATTTCGAGGACAATAAAATAAATACTAACTCGAATTAAAACGAGCTCATGTCACTTATCATACGCATTGAACACCATGTGTTGGGCACAAACCAACTGAACGGTCACCAATACACAAAACGACAGTGAAACTAACGACGAGTGAATGCATGACGCACGTAATAACAACTCACCAGTATGAGATACAATACTGATTTGACGAACAGCACAAATCAGTGAATAAATATGCACATTAAAACCACATTTTCATTCATGTCTTCAACCCAACACAAGTCCCATTGCCTCCACAGATCTCACTTACGCAAATATAACGCACCCTCACATACACATCCAATATTCCAACCATACACCCATGGTTCACCCAAACCACATAGTTCAGTGTTCATAAATCACCCCTCCCCATTCCCCGGTCCTCACACCTCACTATGAGAAGTCTGCGTCCTTCGGAGGCCGGTTGGCCGCGTTTCGTTTGACGCACTCCACCAGCCAGTCGATCCCCTCGTGGACGCCATCCCTGCAGAGGTGGCCAGGCCGGCCGGCCGTGGGGCACAGTCACTTGGAGGAACATGAGGGGAACAGCAACAGATTATTTAACGATTTAACTTATGACCGTAAGGTCAGTTGGAGGAGTAAGGGTAGGGGGTGGAGCAGACAGGTGTACTGATGAAAATGATCCAAGATGAAAGGAAGGACAAGTATTAGGCTTTTCAGGAGAGCGAATAACAGATCTGACAAAAAAATTAGTGGTCAATATTATTTACCAGTAAAACGCCTTTTGGGCGAAGAACAAGCGAGCGAGATAGTGAGTCCTGCACGTGCGAAAGGGCGAGAGGGTACTTCCAACGGGCTTGTGCAAAGCACCCTTCTAACCGGTCGCTAGCGGTGTGCCAAATTTGAACGCAATCGGCCCAGCCGTTCCTGAGATCTGAGCGCTATTGCATAAACATAAGATTTACGCCACCGGAGTAGATCTTAACTTTTTTACGAAACGGCCATACTCTACGAAACACCGTAAAACCTGTTGCATAAAGGCCGTGACCTACTTCGTAAATATTTGGAAAATCTAGGTATGACGTCATACATGAATGAAAATAGTGCCGGATCTCAGCACGAAATGCAGAAGAATGGTGACAATAATGAAAGCGATTAAAGTTCCAGTGTACTGAAATGTGTGAATCACGTTGTCTGGATAAGTGGTTCAAATCACCTTGAATTGATAGCGACTTTAGACTACCTTTCGTACTTTTCAATATTCATGCGCCCTCCCACATCAAGCGGCGGTCGGCTTGGTAAACAACATCGATCGTGGCATCTTGGGAGTGTGGGATATTCTAAGATCATAGATAATTTGCCCTCACTATGGGTTTCAGTCGATATTCTACATAAATTTGCATAGAACTGAGTGCACTGTATCCGTCTAGAACAGTGCCGTAGCTGCTACTGCCACCTTTCGCCAATTAAGTAAGCTGAGATTTGTACACTCGCCGTCCGGTGGTTGCTAGGTAGGACACGAAAGTAAACAACATTCCAAAGAAGAATTTCAAGACAAATGTCCAGCTTGGCTTGCAAGATCGAACAAGATCATCATTTGGTGGCTGAAAATGAAGAATTAAGATAACCAGGGCCCAGACTAACAAGTAAGTTTTCTATTATATCGAATGGTTAGTGAACAATTGTCGGTTCATTGGCAGCACACTGCTCACTGCTCAGCGAGTAGTAAAGGAATCTTGCTGCTCAGCCCTTTCAGACCAATCGTGAGCTTTTTCAATAGTTAATGGTTAAAGCTAATGCCGCTACAATTCCTGATCTATATTTTCTTTTGGTGTATTTTGAATTTGGCATCGTGTTTATTAGCCTCAGCCCTCAATTACTCGCAACATTCCAATGTTCTGTCGCTTTTTTCTTCACCATTATCTACAATTAGGTATGTTGAAATGCCATATCATATTGATATGGTGTCAGGTGTCTTATCATTAAAATCATTTAACTATCCACAAAATTACGTTTAATTATATATTTGCAAGCAACATGCTTTCGCGCGTTGAATTAGTAGGCACAAAACAGAATGCATTTAAGCTAGGTATTACAAGATGAATGCCTACCTATTCGTCTGTGGGCTTGCGTGATATTTTTCAGTTTCAAACGTAAGCATTAAGGGCATATCAGTATAGCATCTAGATACCTACTGGACTATTCTGAATCTGCCAGTGAATTGCTGATTACTTTCAATTCACAGGCTTTAATTAAATGACATGGCTAATTAAATTTAATTAAATGGCACTGGCTAAAATTGGCTAATTAAATTTAATTAAATGCACTGGCTAAAATTGGCTTTAAAAAGTCAACTTTACCAGTATAGCAGGGCACAGTCACAGACCTTTATGCTTGCATTCAAAGAAGTCTGAGAGCGAGGAGATACATGGTGTCATAAAAAGTTCATTATTCGCTCGATTTACTTTTTCCGCCCCTGTCTATATGTATCGCCTCTTTCCTGATTCCCTCAGTCCTCTCTCCTATTTCATGCTCTGTCAGCCACTTTGCCTTCGAAAATGATCTCCTCTCAATCCATTCGTTCTAGTCTTTCTGATACTTACCGACATCTTTATTTCTGTTTCAGGAATTTCTATCCGACTTCGTAGAGGAGTCTTCTGACCACGGCATTCGGCTGTTCTACATGAAGGTTGAAGAATCCCGCTGGGTTCAGCCGACAGAGGGCTCTGATAAATCGCCGATAGATGGCGGCTGCTACGCCAAGAGTCACTACCTTCGTTGAAATCGTCCTATCAGCAGCGTCTTATCCCGGTGTTGGCGCACTCGGGAAAAGTGAGGCTGTGCAAGCTCAGCATCATTTGTTCCCTTTTTTTAAAGCGCTCTTCGTGTTACGATTACAGTGACATGTCAAGTTTACGTGGGTCTCCAGCTCAACTTGAATCGCGGCCGTATTGGTGCACAGACGTTCTCTGAATACGTATGGTACATACGTGCTAGAATCTGAGGCGAGTGTGTTTGGATGTTCACTAAAATCGTCAACGGAATGTGGGAACCAGAAATAAACATCGACACGGCTGATATGTTTGATGACTAATGCGTCTGCAGTTCCTCAAACGAGCTACGAGCGTGGTCTAACGTCAGTCACCACCGTTGTAGTACAATTGTCGGGTGCGACTATGCTTATATCATGCTATCGCATTGGTTGAGAAATGAGAGGTGCGGTTGCAGTCTTTCTATAAATTGTTCGAGGATAAGAAAGCATCAGTGTGTTAAGGAGTTACCTTCATATGCATTCATAACTGTATAAGGACTCAAAAAGTTGGAATTCGGCGTCAAACAGCTGCAATAGCCGACTTTCGGCTAAAATCTAAGAAGCCCACCCCCTCCGTAGAATATTTTACGATTTTTACACATTTGGCGCATCTGCGACATTTTCTGCGCGTTTCGGCGAACTACTTTTTCTTAAATCTTAACTTATATGCAATAGAAACCCCCAAAAGTTACGTCACGTGCTGGAGTAAATTCCTTGCTCTCCGTACTATTTTCAAGACCTTTGTGAAACAGATTGGCGTAGAATAAGTACGATTCTAAGACAATTCGTAAAATATCCGGTGTCGTAAGTTTTATGCAATAGCGCTCTGGAAGCGGCATTCTGCACGTGCGCACGTGCAAACGGGGTCCAAAATGACTTTTGCACGGCACCCTACTAACTGGTCCCCAACCGTGTACCAAATTTGAGCGCAATCGGCCCCGCCGTTCTCGAGATCTGGAAGCGCCCCCTGTACGTGCGCACGTGCAGTAGCACCCTAACCGCAACACATGGGAATGCATTGCCTGGTGGGTGCCTACCTGTATGCCAAGTTTCAGCGAAATCGCCCCAGTAATTACCGAGTTACTGAAATGGGAGCAAATTTGACACTTCTTTTTTATTTTGCACGTGCAGTAGGGGTCACTCACATAGATCAAGAGTATCTGACCTTTGGTAGAAGGGATGCAGCTACCCTACAAAAATTACCGCAAGACAATCGCTCAAGCCGCTGCTGAGATATGGGCCTCTCAAAATCATTACTTTTGCAAAACTGCTTGAACACCCTTGACTTTTCACGTGGCACGTGCCACGACGGTCACTGAGATGTATCAAAAGTAGTCAATTACGGGGTAGAAGGGATGGAGCTACCCAGCAAAAAAGACCGCAGGCCAATCGGTCCAGCGGTTGCTGAGATATAAGCCTCTCAAAAGCGTTACAGGCCGGGCCGGGCCGGGCCGCTCATACTGAGATTTTTCCGTTATATTGAAAAGACTTCGCTTCGCTCGCTGCGCTCGCTCGCTCGTAATCATTGAGTTAAAGGTGTCCGCTAAAGCATAACACCTGTATTCGAAACCTACCCTTAAAATGCAAACAAGTTCATATTTCCATAAATACAGGTAGTCCGTAGTGATAATGCAGAAACCCTTCCACAACCCCAGCGGTTTCAGCAGTCTTCAAGTAGGTACCGGCATCTACTGGGAAGCGGTGATACTAACCATGCGCCAACTGGCGCCACCTGCCCACTGCTGACATTCATAGGATGTGGAACTTTGCTAGTTGCGGTGAAAAGGCACGAGTTACAGGATATCAACATATATGAAAACACACTATTCACCAACAACCCTCGCCACTCACAGCCAAAATCAATACATAAGCATTCCCTCCCATTCATACCACGAAAGCTTCCCATTCACACCACCTAACTCAGAACTGGACCTCACGTTACTCGGCAGTGCCTGTCCTCCCAACCTTCCCATCTTCCTCCACGGCAGCACCCAACCTCTAACACCCCATCCCCACCTCCCCCTCACCCCACTCACCCGTGGAGCGCCGAGACGGGCATCACCATGCAGTCCCTGCGTCCGATCAGGTGGGCGCTCTGGTTGAAGATGGGCTTCACCTCCCGCACGCCCATGCAGTCGGGAATATCCTGTTTGTTGGCCAGCACGAGCAGCGGCACGCCAATCAGGTGCTCCGAGCCGATCACTCGGTCTGAGGGCCAGGGAAGGTCACAGGTCAGAGGTCAAAAGACGGGTCACATGTGTAGAACAGCGGCACGCCAATCAGGTGCTCCGAGCCGATCACTCGGTCTGAGGGCCAGGGAAGGTCACAGGTCAGAGGTCAAAAGACGGGTCACATTTATTGAACAGAGGCACGCCGATCAGGTGCTCCGAGCCGATCACTCGGTCTGAGGGCCAGGGAGGGGAGAGGTCACGGGTCAAAGGTCAAAGGGCAGGCCACATTTATAGAACAGTGGGACGCCGATCAGGTGCTCCGAGCCGATCACAAGATCTGAGGGCCGAGGAGGAAAGAAATCGGGACAAGAGTTCACCGATCGTTCAAGGTCATTGGGCGATATGTAGCGGGAATGCAAGAATACGGTAAATTTATCACTGTTGAACACTACAGATGTAGATGACAGTAGCAAATGAGAATGTCCTGTGCTTATGTTTTCAGAAAATACGCGAAGAGAAAAGGTAATGTTATGCAAATGAAGCAAAAAGTCAATGTTATCAAAAATCATGTTCACTGAACGTTGGCCCTGAAGTGTAGCAAATGACAACACTAGAAATGTCAGTAAAAGTCCCTTTTCCTTTTCTATCGAGCGCCCTCACTCACCGAACACCTCTTTGGACTCGTCCATCCGCTCCCGGTCAGCCGAGTCCACCACGTAAATTACGGCGTGACACTCGGCGTAATACTGAAAACACAGACAAAGAGTCCACGACGTAAATCACGGCGTGACACTCGGCGTAATACTGAAAACACAGACAAAGAGTCCACGACGTATATCACGGCGTGACACTCGGCGTAATACTGAAAACACAGACACCTGCTGATCAGAGTGTACGACGTAAGTCACAGCACGTAGGTAAATCGTCACACATAATACTGAAAATACAGACAACAGTCATAATCGGAGCAAAGCTCTTCGGCCACGAACTCGCTGCCATAGAGTTACGAGACGGACGCCTCGTAACACGGGGGCACGGATGACAAGTTGCAAAGTTGCAAAGTTTATTGGCGATTTAGGGCAAGTCGACTACGTAGGTCATCTTGCTTGTTGAGTTTAAAAGTGTTCACACATTACCCTCGCTTGTTGCGACTTAGAGTTTATGACTAAATGTGTATCACAAGTCACATGAGCCACCTGTTCTCTCCCATTAGTGTCCACTAAGCCCTGCCAACCCCCCACATCAGTCTGTCCCACTCTTTCCATCAGCCGTTCCCACCTTGTCCCAGAGACTCTGGAGGTCCTCCTGTCCGCCCAGGTCCCAGAAGTTGATACGGATCCCAGAGACGTCCACCTGTCCAATATTCAGACCCACTGTGGTAGTGATCTTGGACGCGTTCAGACTCTTATAGTCCTTCTTGAACTTTGTCTTGGCCGCCTCCAAGTAGGTCTGCGGCCAGGGAAGAGAAAACGACAGTTAGTCCGTAGCATTAAACATGTAAAGAGCATATCAGATGAAAACGGAAAATGAAAAATGCGAGTGCATAGATCAGCGACCAGCGAAACGGGGAAGTCTGTAACCGAGCGTTATTATATCTTACCGATTTTCCAGCATTATCCAGACCCAGAATGAGAAGGAAATAGTCGTCCTTCTGCACCAGATGTTTGTACAACCCACTGAGCAGCGTATACATTGTGTTTAACGCTGGTCAGTGCCTGAAAAAGACCGTATTTTGTCAAAGGTCCAGCAAAATAGGTAAGCAAGCTCGGACCAAATGAGCAGCTAAGCCTTAGATGAGTGTCTCGAGGAGGCAAGTCTGTAAATATCACATTTATAAACACTGCAGTATGCAGTAGGTAGCAAATCATACAATCGATAAAAATATCGAACCGTTGATCACGCAACACATGCTACAGCATTCAGCAATAAGTTCATGCTCGTCCCAAGACACTGTCATCCGACTACAATAGCAAGGCATTCCGTTTTTGGCTCCCCATTTGTTCCACTGTCTCGTCGACATGTATTGAAGCTATGCTTATTATTCGTCTTCACATATCGATGGAAAACAACAAAGAATCCCTCCTCCGTGGAACGACAGCACGTCCACGGCACCAACAAAAACTGGTCGGAGGGTCAGTTCACTGTCCCCTCCCCCCGACCCTGTGCAGGGCGGAGGCAGGGGTGCAGCTGGGGACACAGACCGATAACGCAGACTGAAGGTGGACCGCTCCTTATCTCTGCACGGTCAAGAGCAAGGCCACAGAGGCGGGGGATCAGGAATGAAAAACAAAGAAAACAAACGTGATAGAGCGGAGTACAGACATTAGCGGAATTCATCATACTAAAGTCGAAAGGGTCGGAACTCGGAACTAAAAATAGTCGGGGGAAATATAAAATGATATGACATTTACGCCGTGAAATGAGTTTGGCATTTTGTATAGAGTTCCTTTTGGCTATTCATTTGCGAAAAATACATGGCTATGACCCGTGGCCGCTGCAACATCTTAAAAAGTTCTTAGGCATTCCGTTTAAAGCACTCCAATTTGTTTTTAGCTTTACAAATAATTTAGACCAATAGACCAGCAATCCGTGAGCCGTCTGTCCATCCTCTCTTGAGATCACTTGATACCATCCGGTGGACAAGACCCGTCCCTCTCATCTCGACGTGTGTGCCGTTTCAGGTTTGGCCGGTGGGACTGCAAGGTGGGACGGACCGCGCCCAGAACACTCGGCGTATAAAGGTGGCGGCAGGCGACAGATGAGCCAGGCAGCTGACGACAGCAGGAGAGCGACAACAGGGTACCATACACGCAGAGAAGATGAAGTGCGCGGTAAGATCTAGCCATCGGAGACATTGATGAATTGTGCTTCAATGTACTGGGGGTTTGAAGGTAGCTCCTTGGCAAAGCTGCTCAGTTTTTGAGGCATCAATACTTGAACATCACTCATTTTAGTTCTCACAAATTACAAGCAACATTGTGGTATGACAAAATCATATTCTCAAACTTCTTATGAGCTGTTTCTATATGTACCTACCAGACGACTTTGTTAGAGAGCTGGCTCACTCCCCACCACAAGTAACGCCCCCTGACACCCT